ATGTAGCCTCAACTCACTTGCGTGTGAGTTCAAAGCAGGCTTTTTAATTGAAAAGATGTGTCCTTCCTTATGGACTTTTTCGGTTGGGTGAACTTCTACAGTTGTCAGAGACTATGGATAAAGAAGTGTGGAAACCATGTTGTGCCAAAATGAAATAACTAATACACCAAATGATATAATTTGATTCAAAATGGTTAATAGATACATCCGATTCTGCATTTCTTAATGGTTTAAAACAAACAAAAAAAGTATTACACAGAATATCCTGTATAAATATGCACAAAATACATAATGCCAAAATCAGAATACTACTAAATAATATGAAAATATTCTTTACATATTATCGAACCACAATATTTCTGATCCCTTGAAAATAATATAAAAAATCTTGCAAGTACATGTAGGTTATCAGCATCGGCTCAGGCTATTTTGAGTTTGGAAGTAAAGTTGAATGGGGTATTGTTGTAGTGAATGAATAAAATTTAGTAGTGAAAGATATTGGAACCTATTTTAATTGTCAGGTTTTTTTTTTTTCGAGCTAGTCCAATTTTATTGTAACTGTTCTATCCCCCACCAACTTAAAAAAAACGCTGCTACCAACCTGAATTATTTTTTCTTAATAGTGTTCATCGAAATGCTTGGCTGTGCCCCCAAACTGGAATAGTTTTTATAGGCCTTGGATTCCCATAACAATTTTATTTTATTAGCCCAACTATAAAAAGAAGGCAACATGTACGTTACATGTATGTAAGTTTCATCTAAATATGTTATGTAGATCATATTAAAAAAAAATCTTAGGTATAACTGACGATATCCCATTCAGGGTGTAAAAATAGCAGTTTAAACTACTTTATATACATTGTACTTTACATAAAATATTTTTTGCGCATGATGCTCTCCATATAAGATCCGTAGTCGCTATTTTGTAAATGTTCACTCAACTGAAAATGTCCATTTTAGAAAACATATGACCTGTGTGGTTGCAAAAGGTATATCCGTGTGCATTAGGCCTGAATGTTTTGCGAGTGTTTGGGAAGCTTTCCTGTGTGGACTGAAAAGAGCTAAAGAAATGGGACAAAATATGCCCTGCTACAAAAAAATAATGAAATTTTATTCAGTAATGGTGTAGACTTTGTGGGTAATAAAACAATTTATTTTTTAATTATATCTTTTCTAGTTTTCTTTTTAAAGTCGTTTGAAATAAGTATTGATTTCAAGCGTAATCAATGTAACGTCATGACTTTGACGTTATATGTACACGTGTAAATTGTAACGGTTTGTGTAACGGTATGACGTTAACATCATTGAAATGAAGGTATTATATGTACTTTATTTCGAAGCAAATATTGCATAAAATAAATTAACAAGAATTTGGGGAAATTTTATCATAGGAATGTTAAGACGTTTTGAATTATGATATATAATAGGTACAATTTGATTAAAAAGTATCTAATTACTCAACGCTGTAATATTGTTCTGTTATATCAAAAGCAACCTTTTAAAATGATGTATTAAGAGAAAATAGAGGAAAATTATTCATGTGTAAATATTAGCACTTGTCATTGACGGTACTGATTTATTTGTTAAGTCATGAAACAGCGGATAGTTTAAAGTTTTCATTTTTTTTTTGGGGGGGGAGGGGGGTTGAAATAAATAGTCTGTTTTAAAGCCGATTTGTTTGTAGTATATACTCAAATACAAGAAACGTGCGTATTTAACATTACCATGTGTATATGTATGTAATTGTTACCTATCATAGTCCAAAATTCAACGGTGAATTTTACTTGTTAGGAATTTTTTTGCTATATATATTTTTCTTACGTAAAATTATTATTTATTATTATTAAAGTATTATGTGTACTGAATAATGAACCCGACGTGATGCTACTGCAGAAAAGAGTGAAATCCTACGTGCTAAGAAAGTGTGTATATATACGATGTAAACGAACAAAATAACCTATTTGATCACATTTTGTTATTTGACAATTTGCATGTGTCAAAAACATTTGTCTGGCGGGTTTGACAATATTATAAAAATAGGATGTAAAAAGTTATTAATTTTTGTTTGTTTTGTTTATTTTGATTTTTTTTTGTTTGTATGAATGTTGTGGGTTAACGTTTTGATGTGTTTTTGTGCAGATTTTTTTTTTTATAGTTTTTGTTGAACAAATTAATAAAATGTTTGCACCCCTAACAAAAAAGTATTTTAACTATAGCTTAACCGTATTTGCTATATTAACTATATAAATATATAATATAGTTAACTATATTAATATGTTTATAAAGTGTTCACTATGTAAATCAAATATGTTTACATTTTCAGCAATTGATATATTTTATTTTTTAAACTTCCTACAAATGGACTTTTCTGTCAAATAATAAAATGAAGTATTCCTTGTATATTTACCTTACTATCAAGCAAACACATTTTATATGTAATTTTAGAAATATTAGGCTTTTATATGAATAAAAGTTCTACATAAAGTTTCATGTAAATCAAATTTCAAAATGTTTTACTATACATTAAAAATAAACTATATTAACTATAGTAAATTTTTGTTAGGGAGTATCATCTTCTTTTTACTTAGTTACAGCGAGGGATTATTTCAACGCCATATAACAAATTGTGAATAATGCAAAGTACTTTTAGATTTTACTTTTAACTAGACTAAAACAATAAAATTGGTTATTGCGTAAAGAATATAATTATTTTAAAGCTTAATGGATTTTTACATTGCTTTTTTTTAAAATCTAGAGGTTCCTCAAATTTGAAAATATAATTGTAATAGGAATTTTCTCTTCAGGGTAACCCAAGACTTTTTTTTATTTAGACATTCTTTTACTTTTGCTAATACAATTTCTCTATATCTTGATGTTTTTTCTTTGTTTTTTTATGCGAAACTGGACCGGATATTCCTTTGCAATACTATTTCTTGCCAAATAGAGACACAACTCACATGCTAAGGATTTTGTGCTAACCCTTTGATCAAAAGTTGCAAACATACCACGGTTTGGTATTTTTATTATATTTTCAATCCTGTTTAATTCCTAAGATACTTTACGTTTTAATGGATATAAACAAATCAAATATTTTCTGAATATGAAAATATGATGATATAATTTGACAAAATCCTTGTTTGTAATTCTTTATAACATTTGAATGAGCAGATTGACCTTAACTAGCTACATGTATATATTTTAGAATAACGTCTAGGGCTTATTACATAGAAGTAAATGAATTATTCATGGTATATTAGTAGCTATATTTTAATGTTTATCTCACTAACAAATGAATGATATAAAATTCTGATAACAGACTGTTTTTCTGGATAAGAACAATTCAGACAGAAAACGTTATAGAACAAAAAAAAAACTCTCTGAAAACACATGTTGAAACAGTCAAATAATTAGGTCCATAGGCATATCATTGAAAAATACTGGTCTAACAATTCGATTGATAAACGTCAGCCAACATTTCATTTGTCGATAGATGCTATGGTAAAAAAACATACAATGAGCGTAAGTAAATACATGAACATATAATTGTTTTGCATAAAACTCCATTAATGACACAATTTATTAATATTTTTTCTAATTGATAAATAGATTAAAAATATAGAAATGATTTAAAATTCGACCAAATTTAATAATTATACCATCGGATTTTTATGTTAATTTTACGTCCACTTTTAATTTGTGTCCTTAATGAAAAGGCTTCTTTCCGTTAGAAATACTCTGCCTTTTGCCTCCCTATTCGAGGTAGACAATATTCGCTGCATAAGAAAGTCCTCCACGATACGCAAAATGTTCTCCGTTTATATCAACGTTTTAGGTCTCCACTTCGTCTTTTTCGCATTAAAGTTTCACGAAGGTTTCGAAGCTTCTGCAGTTCCCGCAAATCTGACTGTATCGCTTCTTCATTCTTACTAGTATTTTTGTTATATCTAGTTTCCATGTAAATAAATCCCTTATCCTGTTTTGAGTGTATGGCAATATCGAAGCGAGATTTGAAATGCGATTCTTCTTCATGATGTCCAACATTATCTTTTCTTCCTGCAATAAGAAATAAATAAGTATGATTTTTTTCTTCTATATATGCATTCATCCGTAAAGAGAAGATATTTCATCCTCGGATTTAAAGCTTCATTGAACCTGTTTCCTGAAGGCTGAAAATTTGTTGCTTTATATATTTCTGTTCTTTCATCCTTTCTTCCTCTGAAGTTTCTACGATACCATTTGAAAGATTTACAAAATCTTCTGGCTTCGTTTACATTGTTCCTTCTTTTATTTTTAAAAGGGTTAGGGATCTCTGTAATAGCTACAAGGTGTAAAAATGTCCCCCATTCAAAATATTTATAAGTAAATTGCAATGTTTTTATTACATGCATAAACTTGCAGATCTTTCACCTTATTCACTCTTTTAATCATTATGAAAGTTTAGGTTTTGAAATAAAACGTTGATCAATTGGTTAAGTATTTTGATCGTTTACGTCAATTTGCTGTCTTCTGTTATACAATTAATTTTGGCGTATTATTAAATGTACAGGTATTTCATTTTTTCCAAAAAATTTTTTTTAAAAAAAAAATACAAACCTGTGCATAATCATACCACAGAACTGAATAAGCAGAATCAAGGTGAAGAAAATTTTGAACAATAAGCCAAGAATATCAGTTTTTATTTCTTCCCCATTTTCCTGCAATATGAAAAGTCATAAATTAGTTTTATTTAATCAAATTAAGTTGAAAAAAAAATATTGTCGTTCAACTGTTATTTTGATAAATTTTGTTATGCAAATAAAGCTGAAAGACTCACTAAATAGTACTTTTAGCCAAGGAGCAACTTAAAGGGACACAACTAAAACTAAGCAATCTCACCACAGTTTTACAAAAGTGACTACTGTTGTATGCGCAATTGGAACAGGAAGTTCACTGATATCCAGATGAGATTAATCAAGGCCAAAAAAAACATACATTGTTCCTCAATTCTCTTAAATCTTCCTTCACTTTTTCTCCTTATCTTCGTCTTTTTCCAGAGGATTCAGAGGTTTTAAATACCTTTTTTAAAAACAATGTGGGATGATATTGACATTTAATGCGTCACCTACATTTTTATCCCCTCACAACGGAGCTGGAGAGGATCTAGAAGTTAATGATGTTTGTTTGTTTGTGGGTGAGTGAGGCGTGAAATGGAAAAGAGGTAATTTGTATCAGAATTGATGTCGAATGCAGTTTGATATAAAGATATGTTCTTTGCAAGGAGATATACTTGTGGTTATTATGCTTTATATAAATTAATTGTAACATGCGGTTTATATATATTATTATAACAGTAACTTGATCCGAAGGGTCGTATCACATCGAGTTGACAGGTGCGGATCATCAGATTTAACGAGACGCGAAGCGTCGAGTTTGATCTGATGATCCGCGCCTGTCAAAGAGACGTGATACGGCTCTTCGGATCAAGTTACTGTTATAATGATAAATTTGTTATATACTCCCTTATAACTAGCTAAATATAGCAGATTAAAACTTTAGAGATCAATTGTATAATATTTATCCATAAAACAAAGCATAATAACAAGGGACTTTTTAACGCGCAAGAAAAATAACGTCATGTTTTTGCGTACTACGTCATCAGTTTTAGAGAGTGGTGATATGGATTCAGAAAACCACAGTGTGGTGATCCGGAAAATCGGATCAAACTTTGTAAAATTAACAGTAACAAACACTAGGAAATCGATGGGTATATAATAAAAGGTGAGAAGGTAACAGAAAGACCTAGGAAACTTGGCCCTAAGAAATGAAGTTAAATAACATGAACCTCATACTAACATTAAGTAGCTAATAGGATATAGATACAAAATATAGACATTTGGTTTTATATATTATTGATTCCCAAGTAAACTGTCGAAAATATTGTGCTGAATGCCCGATTTTGAAGAGCTAAAAAATAAAATGTTCAGCTTTCCAAATCACTTCGACATATCCATGTATATCAGTGCACGAGTTACCAAAGTACAACTACTGCCTTGTACCAAAAACGAATTATCTTTCATGCATTTATTTCTTTGTATGTAGCAAAAAGTATTATTTGCAAGTTTAATTAATGATGAATAATTCCCTTTGTGACATGGTATTTTTGTAAGAAAGGTTATGTGCATGTTTGTTAAATGATTAGGATTTCAAACTAAGAATACAAGCATACAGCACTCAATAGACAGAAGAAAACAACAGAAACGTACTATATTATGTAGAAGAGATCTTTCAAAAAACAATTTTATTGAGAATATTTTTTTAAAAGGAATGTCTTTTGATATAAGATTTTTAAAAATTTATCTTCCAAATGTGAAGATACTCTCATAAGAATATATACATACTTCTCAACAAATGTTTTCCAAAAATTAGCCTCTTGCTCTTTCATTTCAGTGTAGGTGCCTGGAAACCCACATTTGGCAATCCATCCCGGTCCAGAGCCCTTTTTACTTTTTACTTCTTTCACCATTTTATGTGTTTTAATCTAAATTACATAATCAATAAAAATAAAAAAAAAATTATCACAGTACTAAGCATAAAGATATTCAAACTGAGCATATAAATTTTGAAATTTACAATTTTAAGCAATGTTTATAGCATAGCACAGAATTAACACTGATTATAGGGCTTTGTGGGAGCTCTAGGGTCAACTATAATTAATCACAGTTAAGAATTTAAGGCAGAAGGTTATCTATTTTTTCTATTTTGTTTAGTTATTTAAAGTTGTTGATTTTACATAAATATCAAATATGTTATCATTGTTTATTTATTTCATGGATTTCAAAAATGCTCAAAAAACAAAAACTAACACCAAGAGTTGTTTCCCCTTTTATACTATTAACCAACTATTATTTGCGGCATCTTTTATTTGCGATTTAAAATCAATCCGAGAGGATCACTTTTCGCGACTGAGAAAACATAATCTACAAATACTGAGCAAAATGATTGGTTCACGGCGATTAATATTTACGATTAATACTAGATCATGAAACTCAAATGAAAGTTGGCCTACAGTACTATGTGATCTAATAGTTTTGAAAATGACCTTTAGAACCTGACTTTAAAGTTTAAGAATGCATTTAGTTTCTTGAAAATAGTGACCAAGTCCTCTGTATTACAGCCCAAGGACGGGATATGAAAGTAGTATCTACCTCATGTAGAAAAAAAAATTGTTTAAATTTTGACATTTGATACAAAAAAATGGGACTTATCTACAAATACATCTAAATCTCAAATTATTCCATTTTGAAATACACTTGACATTACATGTACCTTAAACAGCAAAACAAGTTTTTTTGACATATTATATGCCAATAGACAACAATAACGGTAGAATTACCCGTCCTTTACTGTTTTCAGCATCTTTGTGCTCTCTTTTAATATCTGTGTTAACGATAACTTCTTTTAAATCGCCTTCAGAGGAAGTACGCTTCCTTGTCATTTTACTTTGCTCCATAACATGTGTCATCGACTTGAGCAGGTTTATGTACGCATCCTTTTCAGAATTCCGTGAAATAGAAAGAGACTCTCTTAGTTTTTGAAATGGATTAAGTATTTTGGAAAGAACACCTTTTTTCTGCCTGGCTTTGGCGTTCGGTGTAGCACTTTCACGTGTTCCCCAAGACACGTCGTTCAAATTACATAGCGAGTAGATAATTAAGATTAAAAAGCCACATGGTACCAAAATGAAGTAAAGGAAACCAAAGATAATGTTGCTCCATTCTCTCGGATGACACAATGCAGCAAATACAAAGATGGCTACTATTCCAACAAGGAAAACAACGCTTGGGTGATATGGAGACTCCGTGACGGCGGTTATGATGACGCCAACAAGTACAACCATCATAATAATAACATAGAGCCCACTCAGTATCTGAGCAAAAATCAATTGGATTTTCGTGCTACATGTGACACAGATTATAAAATAAAGAACTGCGGGGACGAGGGAAGCGATATATGACGTAATCAATTCAACACCAAAGACTGCGACAAAAGCACCGGCAATCATCATCAAAATTGTTGCAGGTCCAATTAATGTTGCAGCCATCAAAGATGCTAGAAAAATTAAAAAGAAATTAAAATTCTGTTTAAAAGATAAACTACACTTTAACATTTTACACGAAATTGTTTTTTTATGATAAAATATTAGGAGAAAAAACAAAAGATATGTAGACTCAGATCCATTAAACTAAAATAAGAGCTGATCAAAAACGGACCTCTTAAACATAATAGATAGGATTAGATGCCATGTAGGAGCGAGTACCTCCTCTCGACCGGTTACGCTCCCATGTCTTCCCTGTCATTTTCGGAAATAACCGGATAATATATCGTCGACAATTCAGTGTGTAAATAATAGCCTTACAATTATTATAAAAACGCGAGTCAGCATTTCACTCAATGATAAATTGTTTTTGCTGAAAAGGTCATTGTATCGACTGTACGAAATGATGACTGTATGCAAGACTTATAGTATTCTTGTTTCATCAACTTACTCGTCAATAGTCTACCTCGTTTTAGAAACTGGACATTGGACGTACATAAAGCATGCTTCTGGGTATCGAGACCCATATGTAGGTGATGGAGGTAAGGTACAGCATATTGCTGCATTAGCAAGGAAGTTGACGATTGAAAAGATAAAGGTGGTAGTTAAATTATTTTTAATGCCTTTTTCGAGTAAAATATTCAAATATGAAACAGACGTGTCAGACTCTGTGATGTCCTTTATCTGAAGCTCATCGCAATAATAGTATTGACACAAGAATAGAAGTAACCATTGTTAAATAACAACATGTCGATATACCCAATTGTTGAGTTGAAGGCCACAACAAGTGTTTTCTTCTTTTCAAATATATGATTTTGAACAAATTCTACTACATATGAATACAAAAAGAGTCTGCTGATACTAAGGCACAATTAAAACCCATGAGAATTCCAATATATTGTTGGAAGATCTTGTCTCCTAAACAACTTAGATTAAGGGCGTATAAGGAGTCATTCTTCAAAGAAACGATAAATCATCCAAAACCGGCAGATACCTTGATAAAAAATGTACAGCCAGCTAATGTTCGAATTAGTTTTCACTGTATTTTTGCTGTCTTGTAATAAAGACATGATGTTGGCAAGCGTTGATGGACCCCATCTCTTCCTTTGATTGAAGTACTCGTTGAAGCCCTCAGGAGCATATGTAAAAGCGTCAGCTCCGGCTGAATAATCCACTCTATACCCTTGTTGAAGAAGAAGTGTGCAAAGCCATCTGTCTTCGCCTGGTTTAAATATAAATATAAGATTTTATTTACTTTTAGCACCAAGATAACGTATTCGCCTTTAAAGCTTTACTGAGTGTGATTTTCCATTTTTGCTATTCTATTGAAATATAACTAATATTTTCAAAGTCTATTTTATTTTCAGTTCTTTGATGAAACCATTCTTAGAATTATCGACATTTCTAATCCTGTGACGAGAAATTAAGTCTTCTCCAATGAAAAACAATTTTTGTATCATCTGTCCTTGAACATGATTTCCTTCAATTGAGGGAATCATTGTCTCACCCGAAGGATCCATTTTGACTTGGAAAAAAGGGTTTTCTCTTGAAATAATATTTGAATATGATTTTTGCGTAACTATGTAGGTCTCTATGATCACCACTTTCACCATGGTCTTACCTTGATCATACATAAGGTGATGTGATGCTTCAGACGGCAGTAACGTATACTTTTTCATTACATTATTGTCCATTAATGCAGAGCCTCTAAATAGACTGAAGCATCCGGGGGAACAAAGAACGCAGCCTAGAACGTGCTCGGTTGCTTTCTGCAGCCAGTGAGCCACAGCATATTCAAATTTCTGGTACCACACAATTGGACCTGAAGTTAAATATAAATGTAATCTAACCAGAAACATTTTGATAGGCTTAATAAACTTAAACATAATATTTTCCATTGACCAAACCGGAACAATAAATATTCGGTTACATATTAAATCCAAACAAGCTAAGGAAAAATATTTGATACACATTAAATCTAATCAAGCAAAAAAGATAAGAAAGATTAAATAACTTTTAGAAAAAATTCCCGACTTTACCACAACACAACTTAAATGTAGCTTACATTAGGTAATAATAGTTTTAAGTGTCAAAGGTATCACTAATTAATGTTAACAATTGTAAACTATAATTTACAATTTTAGTACTTTTTATAGGATTATTCCAAGACTTAACAAAAACATGTTCTAGAAGATATTATTTTTTTCAATACCACTGCCAACTGGATGAATGCGTCCACATGCGGCTCCAACTCTCTCATCTTTCCTCATCCTGTCAATCAAAAGTCTCACCGAACCAGGATTAAAGTCTACATCACCATCCAACGCAAGGAGAAATGTGTTTTCAGCCTAATTATTCCATGAAAATTAAAAAAAAAAAAAACAAAAAAAACAAAAAAAAAAAACATTGTAATGTGCTGCTCAGTGACGTTCAGTAACGTCATCATTTTTTTTTTCGCTTTCAATGAAGACTATTTATCTTCTCAAATTGATTTTTTTTCAACGAAGCAAAATACTAAGCCATGTTTTGGAATATGAATCAATGTAATAGTTCTTAATACACTGTAACCAGAGAAAGTAGTTTAAATGTTTCCTTTCCATATACAAGCGTTCAAAATTTAATCTGTTGACTGTGTACATGTATATCCCTTCTTTTTTTTTTTTTTTTTTTTTTCTTTTTGGAGAGAGAGAAAGAGAAATAACAACTGTTAATAATGAAATGATTGTACGGTTTGATTTATAACCCCAATATACAAAGCTTCTTTGTACCTTTGCTTTTAGTTTTATATCAAAATCATCCAGACTCTCTGATACTTCTCCAGTACTGTTCTGTTCATCTTCTTTGATGATTTTGTGAGATATCTCAGTTGTTAAGCGATAGCCAAGCAGGTAGTACATGTACATCACCTGTTGATATATTATTCGATTCAGGGAAAATTGGTTACATATTGAAAAAGAAAACTTTGTAAACAGTTTTTTGCTTTGATATTAAAAGCCAGAATACACAATTGTATGAAACACTCTAAAATGTCCAAGTATTCGAAAACTAATGAGACTCTTCAGTTCAATAACATTTATGTATTGTTTAAAAAGAAAGCCTAACCTGTGACCACCTTTTCTTGTGACGTATTTTTGATTTATCTTTCAAATGGATGAACATTAGATTTCCACCAGGCATCCTATATATCACTTGACCACCGTAAACCGTGGGAAAAATAAAAGGTTTCTCAAGTTCAAACGCCTCCCCATGAACAGCGCTAAAAAGATATTGTTTTCTAGGCTGTAAATAATGTGAATACATGAAGAGTGCAATCTGACGAGAAAGTTTTTTTCAAATAAAATTATCGCATGTTTTCACTTCGTTCGATCGTTACATACCTTGCAGATTCATTTATTACGGATGCAAATGTTTCCACAAAGTCGTTGACATTGCCTTTTTTATTAAATGCGTCATCAAACAAAATGTGAGCTAAATAAATAGTAAAAGAAAAAAAGGAAATGTGACTTACTTTTATAAGCAAGAATTGTTTATCTAGTGATAAAAAATCAGCACATAAAAATTTCTTGGCTTTCAAATCACCTTCCAATTCATAGTAGTCTTCAGGTAGGTTAGTTTCGTTCATTTCATATTCATTTTCTTTCTTTGCAAGTTTGTATGTTTCTGCTCTGTTAAACTGATCTTCATCTAGCCTTAAAAAATGACGAAAGAAATTTACCAAGGACATCAAATAATGATAAATTTTCGAAATGCATATCAAAATACCAACCTGAACAAAGATTTTAGAAGTTGAACCATTTCAAAGCGAGTTTCATGCCACATAGTCGCACATGCGTAAACAAGAGGAGGGATTTTCAAATTCGCTTTGGATTCATCATTCAACTCCCTATAAAACAAATCGATACTTTAACCACAAAAAATAGGGATATATCTTTCATATCATGTATTGAGACAAAAATTACTTTGTGCGCTGATAATGAAAAGGCAATTTGAATGAAGCAAAAAGAAACCCGAGCATCCAAAATATTTTATGTGATTTTATGGTGTATTTTTATACAAGGCATGGATATTACCATGATTACAGAAATTAAATATTCTGAGCAAGATGATCTTGTTGAAAGTCACCCGACAAACAAAAATTGCATACAAGTTTTAAACCTTTGATTTTTACAATATTCAAAAGACTTACCATTTATTTTTAGTTTATGAAAATAGCGCGATATATGTTTAGTTGAATCCATGTGCAAAATAACAACTACGAGGGCCATTCAAAAAGTTCGTAGACTTTTGTCATAACCTTTTTATTTAACGTCATATTAAAACGAAATTTTTTACACATATTGTAACAATGAATTCAAATAATTTGAGCGAAAAAATTGGAAAATATCTTGATAATTATCAAAATTATCAAAGATTTAAGACAGAAAAATGGGGTCACGGAGCAGGGTAAAAATTGATCTATTTTCTAATTATACACTATAATGTCTAGAGTCATACCTCTGATAAATGGCCCTTCAATGAAATAAAATTGAAATGTTTAAATTCAAAATTGTTCAATTACTTCGTATGCTAAATTTAATGTGATACATCATTTCGTTTAAAAGATATCAATCTTTAAAGGCAGATAGACTTCATGAAAGGAAGCAAAAAATGATGACGTTGAAGGACGTCACGGAGCTAGGAGTACCGATAAAATTTTGTTTTGCATTCGGGAAACCTTTAAAAGAAACTCTGAGAATGCTTGATGAACCAGGAAATTGATGCAAAAGTGCTATGCATTTGTTTATAATGGGAATGACCATTGTTTGAGTGCAAGAAACTTGGAATCGGACCACGAACGATCTGCGAAGAAACAAATTATAGAAAAATCTTTTCAAAGAGTTAGCAACGTCATAAAATGTGATTTGCGATTTTATTTTGCGGAACTTGTGAAAACAAGAGTTACGCGATAAAGAATTTGAAATTTAACTTTCAATTTAAAATATTTTCCATTTTACTTAAGGTACTCAAACAATTGTTGGTTAACTAGGTGTAAAGGGCTATAGATTCAAGAATCCAGAAGAAGCAACAAACAGTGGATGAAATGAAAAGGCAGAGTAATTTTAAGAAAATTTTTCGACGTTGTTTTTGACGCCATAGTGTCGTTACATGTAACCATGCTCCGTGATGACAAAATATGTTTCTTTTAAAATTGTCTAACACGAGTTCCATTAAAACAAATGGAATGAAACTTTAAACACTGACAAAATAAATGTTTTACACATATAAAAATGTGTTGATCTAAATTTTTGTAAGAATAATATGATGATTGAGGACATTGTCTACGTATTTTTTGAATGACCCTCGTATAAATACATATAATCTTTTTTTCTAACATTTTTTTTTCATATAAAACATAAGCCCGTCAGGGTAGAACTTTTATTAACCTGGAACTTTTTTCCCTCTTCGCATACCTATTGTGAGTAGAATGTTATACAACTTTTTTTCCCTTTTTTTCAAATTTTATTGATGAGGGAAACAAAATTTTTTAATTCAAGTAGGTCGAAACTGATTTAAAGAAGGTCTTAAGTAGGTATTACTAGTTATGGTAGTTATATCCTTTATTTGTTGGCATTAATCCTAGAAATACCATTTTTAAAATATGGGTGTTTATGCTTATTTGGCTCTCACTGATCTTGATTCCTGTACATGTATTACAATAGGTTCCAGGTAAAACGTGCACTGCATATCTGAGAAATTCAAAATATCGTGGGCTTCTATTCCTTCCTGGGATCATCCAATTACAAATCCTCGATGAACTCTTTCCCAATTTAATCATCTTTTTAAATATGTACCATTTTATGAGAGAGTATTTTTTTTTTGTCAAAATATATAAATGTTTCCATGAAAAATTAAATAAAAAAAATACATACGTCTGTATGCTGTCAGTCTCCAGGCTGGAAAATAATGTAACGTTATTTTCATATTCCATACTTAAAGCAATAGATTATCATATGTTTATTAATCGCATAGATAAACGTCTCTCTCTCTCTCTCTCTCTCTCTCTCTCTCTCGCACACACACACACACACCCTTTCTCCCTCTCACACGCATTTACAAACCTATACTGCCTCACATACATCCTTTCACACACAAACCAATATTGGACAAGCGAAAGTAACGACCCTATTTGGTCCATTACTACTAAAATAACAGTTACTGTGTAAACTTAGTTATAAACAGGCCTAAATGCAGTATGTTGTCCACTCAAAAAGAAGGCACCAACTAAATACTTCAATGTAAATTTTAATCATGAATGTAAAAACTTCCAAAAAATTATTATGCCAGATCTCTGAGCCACGATTAACAATATCTTAATTTCGAAACGTGCATTTAATTTGATACTAATCATGTTAGGTTTGTTTTTTTGTGTTGTATGCGTAAGAACAACTAATAACTTACGTAAACTCTACTATGTTTTTCTCATTTTTCTTTATTTCTCGTTTATAAATGCTTTGGTTCCTTCGTTTTCTGTTCATTACCAAATGTTGCTCTAACAGTATTCCACAATACAGCGGATTAACAAACAACCTGTTAAAGGAAATTTGAATACACAAATCATTTATGTTTTATATTTCATCTTTTTTTGAATTTTCTGAAACTTGCATAATATTATTTGCAAATTCTTTTGCATTCTTACGTTTTTACTTTAGCCAAACGTTCCTGAGAAGGATACCAGATGTGCTGACCAATCCAATATATGGACAAAAACCAATGTCCAAAAATCATAATATAAAAATAATCGCCTAACATCTCATCGTCGCAATCTATATTATTAGTAGAAAACATCGAAATATAATCCTCACTTGTTTCGCAGTAATATGTCAAAAGTACAATAAAAAGCGGCGTTGATAGTAGGCAAGGTAGGGAGAACGAGATTTGCTGCATCTGTAATTTACAGGAAGTGTATGCAGCAGAATATCCAACGAAGCTGGATATTATAAGTGCAATGATATCCGAGAAGTAGGCAACTTTTTTGTAATCTCTTACTTCAGACCAGAATTCACCTTTCAACAATCCAATGGATTCCCCGACGAGAAGACGTGCGAACAAAATGGTGATGGCAATTTTGAGGAATGAAACAAAGATGTATATGTAAGGTCGGCTTTCCTGTAACTCATATCTTACTTTTCGGATATTCTGTCGAGCAGCTTCTGAGAAGCAAGCCTTATCAAGTACAAAATTTTCCCACCATGATACGGAGCAGAGAAGTAGCGATAGTAATACCTTGAAATACCAACTTAAATCTGTGGAAAGTTCACTGAAAATACCGCTGTCGAGTACCTGTGTTTCATTGGCATTTATTGGTTGATATGTTTCTGGCTTAAACTTGAAATACGGGTGAAGGAGAAAAAGAATTGCCGACATCTGCATAACAATGGCGACTATATCAACAATTATCATCATTATTGTTCCTAATTTTCTTCCGGGCTTAAACGATTGCAATTCCCGAATTGAAAATAATTTGAGAACGCTTGGAAGTAATGCTGTAGCACTCAAAAGACATATCCTTTGTAAAGCTCCTAGATCAGGCAAGAGTTTAAACACTAGCACACACAGCCCAATTGAATGTAGCACTTCTATCCCCGCACACTGCAATTAAAATTTTTTTTTGTTAACGTTTCTATTATATCAATATATGATATATTATATATTAGTTTAGATAATATTCCTTTTTATTGAAATAATTAATTACCATAAGCACTGTTGTAAATGAAGGCCGTTTTATATTTCCAAAGAAAACTCTCCAGCAGCTTGCAAGAAATGTCATAACATACGGAGTACATATCACGAACACTAGCAGAAGACTATGAACCCCTGGGTTTGAAATCTAGTTTACAAAATACATGCACTGCATGAATATGAAGTATTATGTACACAAAACATACATTAAAAAAAGTATCAATTTGCAAGGCTTATTAAAAATCAACAAACTGACTATTATGCTGAAAGCAAAATTTAATTTCCTTTCTCAAATGTAGATGTTGTTTAACACTGATTCTATGTAAACATCAGAGAAATTAAAAGAGGCCTGGCCACTTGATGTCACCGATTTCAATGATTTTGCAGTTGTTGGCTTTCTTTCCTTTATCTTGCACAAATATGAATAAAAAACAAACAAATAATCAACCGTTGCTATGGTAACCAAGCAGTGGTTCTATAGCTGTGAAATAAGCCCATTTTTGACCCTTTTTCATCCCACAGTAAATTAAATTCTAGCGTAAATAGTAAACATTAATTATAAATTTCATTTTTCTACAGATAGATCTTTTTATACCTGCAATCATTATTACTCTGTAATAAAAGGTGTTTGCATAGTGTACATTCAATTTTTCATTACTTTGCATTGTGCCAAGAAGTGCATTTTTGCTGTTTTTTCATGCATGATTTTCAAACATTTGGCTAATACATGAAATAAATGCAATTATAAACAGTTAACAAGCATAATCTTGACTTTTAAAAAGTATAATAAAATTTATGGAGAAACATCACAGTCTAGAGAAACCATGACGAGAAAGTTATATGTTTTTGGCACTTTGCCAAAAAATGCAACTTACTCTATTTCTGAGTGATTTTTTAAAAATATTGTCAAATACTGAGAGGAAATGTAATTGTTAGTCAATATTAAGCATAATCTACTTAAAAAAAAACATTTGATAAATAAAGGTTTAACTTCATACAAAAGAGCAATCATATCTTTAAAATTGTACATTTTGGCACTATGCCAAAAAAGTACAATTTTTGCAATATTTCATGCTTGTTCCGAAAACTTGGGAAATGCATGGTAAGAATTCAATAGGCAATAGTTATAAGCAAAATCTAGACCTTTTTAAGTGTCTGAAAAGACTTGTGAAGAGAAATTGCACATCAAATAAATCATGACAGGATTACTACCAGCACAAGTTTCATACAAGTGTATGGTTTAGAACTCAATTTCATTTTATTTGCGATAGTTTTTTAATTCAATTTTGCTTTCATTTCAGAGCGGATTACATATTACTCAAAAGATTGGGAGAAATGCAATTTGTAGTACACAAATTTGTGTTTGTAGTACACATGCATACAATGTTCTACTGACTAAAAAGATTTATGAACAACAAGAACTCATTATTCTGTCCATTACAAAATATCAAATTGGAAATGTTTAACAAAAATTTGTAACAGAATGAGAAAAGCATGTTTTTCTTTCATTAATATACATTTATTAACAAATATATACATGTACTTTTGTGGTATCTTTCTATTATATAAACAAGCAGAGAACTAATAACTTCATATCTGTATGAAGTTATTCACAGGTCATAGGTCCATATGAGGCCTAATCACATGGTGCAATAATATCTATAGCTACAAATACGTAGTACATAAAATTAATTACTTGCTATACTTTTTTTTTTGATTTTTGATCAAATTTTATACTTGATTGCAAATTCACTGCGGCTCGGACAATTGTCTCGTGGTATTAACATCTTGAAAACTGGTCTGAGTGGTAAGAATAGATAATATTTGACGCCCAACTGTTGGTGTCTCAGCTTTTAGGTTACTCTCAGTTAGAGCCTCAATAAGTGTCGGTGACTTGTAATGAAACTTTTCTAATTTTTAAAACATTGCATCTTTTAAGGCATCACTTTCTCCAGGACATATTTCTTTAAAAGAAGAGAGAAGCATTTATTTGCTTTGGCAGCAATATCTTCTTCTTGATTGCTCACTTGAACGAACAAATGACCCTCTAAGTGTTTTAGCATGACTCTTGTTGCACGCTGCAAGTTTTGATAGGCGATCGATACCAGAAATTGATGCCTCTGAAACTGGGCTTTCTTGGCTATCCATTGGTGTTTCTTGACTTGATTCAACATTTTCCTAAAAAATGACCTTAACCTTTCAGTCTTTATTTTTACATTTGTCTGTCAAGCATAGGGTTCTCAACATATTGTGCTATTAATATACATGATATATTTTAATGTCCATTTTCACCATTGACCTTAAAGCTTGCATGTGACCTCAAAATCAATAGGAATTATATACTCTTCAAAGGGATCAAGTGTACCATGTTTAACGTCTGTCAAGCAAAGGGTTATAAAGATTCTAATGGTCAATATAGTCCTATTGCACGTTCGGGTTCGCCATTTTGATTTTGCTAATGATATATGCATGTAAAAGGTCAATCGGGGATTGTAAAAAGCAATGGATTCCTGCGTAACTCATGAAGTCATTAACAGCGGTTTATTTTGATTCATATTTCATAACTTGGATAATTTATACATATTAGTATAAACATAGTGTATCTCGGAGATCAAAGTTGTGCATTAGATTATTCTTCTCTCTGGAAAATTAAGGCTTAACATACGTTTGCCTAGAGTTGGTGATGTAACTTTGAAACACAGCTGACAACGTTTGGGTCTGTTTTGAGAAAACAAGTGGACCTGTTATAAGTGCCTACTGTTACTCAGGGTAAGTGACCAAAAGAACAATTCCAGCATATGCTGATTATTATAAAAGGTGTAATCACTTTGAGTTAAATGACTAATCAAATGTTATGCAAACTCTACATCTACATTATACAGCGTTCCATCAAACATGATGATTATACGCTGGCCCTGCGCAAACGGACCTCTAAATTTTAAATGAAAGTGTAAGAAAAAAAAAATTTAAAAGTAAATGAAATAAACTAAGTGCCATGAAAAGTTTAAATTAACTAAGTGCTTTGGAAAACAATTTACATTGTGCATAAAACAAGTGTATAATCTATATATATATATATTTACATTTTACTCTGATTAGCTCTATGAATATAAGAGTTATGAAATATAACTTGGGACCAGAGTTCTGAACTGGTCCAGGGAGGCCGCTGCCACCACTGAGTGTGGAGGAGAATTCCACAAAATTACTGTCTGGGGAAAGAAACTAAATTTATTGTAATCTGTTCGCTTACTTAAGGTCTGAAAGTGAAGAGGACTGGTATTACGTGTGATGGTCGTTGTCTGAGGTACTAGATAAAGGTTTTGATCTATAGCCACTAATTTGTCTGTCATTTTATACAACATTATCAATCTACATATTTTTCTTCTATGATCTAATGTTGGCCAATTCAGATGGTGTAACATGTTTAAAACACTACTTGTATTATGGTATCTATGTGTGGCATAACGTGCAGCTTGTCTTTGTACACTTTCTAATTCATCTTTGAGTTGTTTGTATGTGTGCCCAGACTGAAAAACAATATTCAAGTTTGGACATGACAATTGATTTATATGCCAAAGATTTTGTTGCTTAATTTTTTTTTATCTACAAATTCGTTTTAAAAAACCCAATATCTTATTCGCCTTAGAAGTTATATTATTGATATGCGGTTCCCAGGACATGTTGTAGGATTAATTTGATTAGATTAAATATTTTGCTGTCTTTATAGATTCTAATGTGTGTCCTTTTAAATTATAGTTATATTTTACTGCTGTGCGAGATCTGGTGATACTGAGCGAATTGCATTTTTGAGGATGAAATTGCATTCCCCAGACATGTTCCCAGTTAGATAAGGAGTCAAGATCGCGGGTATGTTAAGGAAGCATATAAGTAATTTCTCGGGAAATTTAGACTTCTTGAAGAAAAATTAGTTTAAAAAATTACCAAAAACCACTGATAAATGTTAAGTGTTATTTACTGTTGCATACAGATAAAAGCGTGTCTAACGCAAAGACGCGCATCACCGCCAAGGCATCACGTGATTTCTATTAATAACAAAATTTTCCTTAATAAAAAGGCTTACAGAACAACAATACCCCGGAGTTTGATAATTTTCTTGAGTATGTAATATAGCTGAAAAACATCTCTTTTGTCTAAAAAGTGCTGCTAGAATCCTACTATCTTGTCCGTAAAATATTTATTCCACACATTCGCACGAAACCTTACCCTTTGTTTTGAATTTTATACATATAAATCGAGATTTTTTGTACAACCATGCTTAACTCGGGATTCTAGCAGCACTTTCCAAGTTTGTCAAAACGCAAACTTTCAATCTGTACAAATCGTATGTTTTGAAATATCCAGCTTATTGTTGTTCTGTTGCATTTTCTTAGTCTAAAATGACGGACGATAGGCCGACTGGGATACGTAATATAGCTGACTGTCTTCGAAAGAGAATATAATCGATGAAATAAATTAGCAGACCTGTTTAATTAATTGAACTCCATATGAATTTAACACAATATTTCCGATATTTCCTTTTAAACTCCATTTTACGTATCTTTGGACATGCCGTCTTAGCCAAATTCTCTTTACACGACATGATCAATTTCCAAGTTACTTGATGTACACATACGTCATCGGTGGTATATTTCAATCATACTGACTGTAACAGCATAACAAAATAAAAACATTTTATTTTTGTTAATGTTTACACGTTTCTAATCATTTTTTAGAGTTAAATTACATAGCTAACTACCAATATTACTAAAACCTTATTTCTAAAATTGACGTCACATTGCCTATTATGACGTCATGATGCAGCACTGATTAAGCAAAGGTAGAATATTTTTTATGCTTCCTTATTTATCCTGCGATCTTTTTTTGAGGATTACACAGTCATTTTGATTATGAATGGGTCGAAACATAATCAAGAAAATAATTTCTACCCCTCCCAGAAATTAAAAAAAATACTAGTATGACTGGATTATCCCTAACTTTGTAAAAGACTGTTATTAAACATAAAATTCTACAATGCATATTACACTGTAGATTTATATATCCATATTATTCAGCATGTAATCATGTCACAATCTACTTTATATTTTACACTTCATTTACACATGTCTATGTGCTGTAAATAATATAAAGTAACT